CAGTGCTTCGCGAATCATGTGTCACATGACAAGTGTTTTATTTTATACTCTGTCGATTATGTTTTATAGCTTAATTCCCATGCTTTGATCACAATTTGTTTCCTTTTAAGTTGTTTTGCATGCAACTACTAAAAAATAAGCGTATCACATTGTGATTTTAGCATTTTTAACAAAACAAAAAAACTCAGTATTGTTTTGCTGCTTTATTGAATACTTTGACTTTATAAGCTGTGACTGCTGTACTTTTTCACCAAAAAGTTGTGTATAGCACTGCCTTTTCACGTGAGTGTACATAAATAAATACTGTCTTGTTTCCAGTTGTTGTGTAAAAAAAAAAAGATATAAAATCAATGGGACTTATCAATAAAACAGCTCTATCATGTACCATAGTGATGACTTTATCTCAAAAATGTATAGCTATATTGATATATCTGCAGTATAAATTATAAATAGACAATAATTAAGACTATTCAGGAACGGACTTCTGATACTGTGGCCATATGTTTACTTCAGAAAACAATATTTAGTGATTGAACTGTCATTCTTTAGGAAACAAAATAAGAAAGAAGAAAAGAAAAAACTCTTCTCATGTTTGTCACTATACCCTGCCAGTCTTTTAACTCTCTTTCAAGAATGAGAATGTATCTAAATGCACACACACACTTACACTGCCCTGCCTGTAAGAGAATAAAACATATGGATCTCAGACTGACTTTGTTTCTTGTGGATTTATTTGTCATCGTATGGGGGTGTGGGCTTAAAATCCGCATGAACCGGAAGCTGCGACCATTTTTTTTTTTATCGTATTGTGACAGTTCCTAGAGAAACAGAATATTAAACGACACGACAGTGGGCGTGGCTTGTTTTTTCCATATTCTATATATATAATAGTCTTTTCTATAAATACAATTATTATTTTAAACGCAAAATAAACGCAAAAAGCTTAAATAATCTCTCAATTCCAAACCATATAATCATATTATATTTATTTCAGTTTGAAATTATTTGTCTTACATGATTTATAGACATCACATACGCAGCGCACGTGATTGAGTGTCTCTCAAAAAATGACGTCTCACCTGCACCCTCACATTCATTACATTACATAGAAAGGAAGGGAGGGGGTTGTTTTGCAGCCTGTGCAGTAAGCAGACACGCATGAAGCGTGAGTGTTACAACCGGCTCAACGTTGCAACATTAGAGAGACAATACGGACCAGGTAAATTGAAAAGAGAAATGATTTATTAACAAAATGTATAATTAACAAAAGTATTTAAAGCAATCAAAGCCAGTATAGGTGAAAGTCAGTAGTGAAAAGCATGTGTATGGAAGTGTACTGAGCTCATGATCCAAACACAAACTAAAACAAAAGCGCCAAGCAGAGACGTCCGGCTAATCGAGCTCCCTTAGACAGAATGCCGGACTCCTTATAAACACCCCACGATGAGTCTCAGGTGGGATGACCCACCCACCAATCTGCAATCATGCATGCAGGCTCTGCAAAAATCACACAAACACACACATACAAACAGGTCCCACATGGGACCTAACATCTCCCCCCCTAAAAAAAAAGAAAAAATATATAAATGCCAAATACCAATAATTTCTCTTCAATTTTTATACTATTTTCTCTCTAAACTTTAAACATTAGTACTGCTTAAATTTTCTTAGGATGAAACGGTAAAGTAAAGTAAAGCTACAGTTTGGTATACTCCTGCCCCATCTCCTCTCCTCCAGCAAACCGGATCCTGAAAGCATTTAATTTACATGCAAGTCAATGCGAAGATGGAATTAGGCATCCTGAGGCGTGAATCAGGCTTTTTTTTTTGCGTTTGACGCACTTCAGACTGCAAAATAAAGTGTGAACAAACATCTAACAAATGGAGCAATGGAACAGACAGAAAAGCAAACAGCTTGCAGTGATGGTTCAAGGGTGACAGGCGCTGGATGTGACTGAATTGAAGGACATTTTTTGTGCTTCACATGTATGGCTGGTATTATGATGTGCGTCAAATCGATAAATTATTTTGTTTAATTCTTTCCCTGCAGTTATCGAAAGAAAACACTTTCCTGCCATTGATGAGTTTATAGCAATCTGTGTTTTACTGTAGGTGTATTACGGTATAGGGGAAGTTTAACTGTCCAGTGAAGAGGGCGGGTCTTTTAAGTAGAGTCTGTCAAGTCTTGACAGAGAGTAAAGGCAGATGCTTCTCCAGGTAACCCTCCGCATCTTAAAGTTTCAGAGTTTAAACGCAAGCGAATGAAAAAATACTGCAGGGAATGGGAGGAAACAAATACCTGGCTGCAGAGTGTTAGAAATATTATTAAGCCAACTGCACGATTTGTCGGAGAGCGTTTTCTGTGGCTTATGGTGATCTGTGCGACAACATGCCTCCGGAGAGCAGCATTCCCGCAAAGAAAATCTAGCTGGAGTCATTGTTTTTATATATATATATATATATATATATATATATATATATAATTTACTGTTTTCTACATAAAAAAGAACAGTCTGTGATGATAATAATAATAATTATAATAATAATAATAAGAAGATTATATTTATTTAATATTAAATGAGTAAAACAATGTCAACAACTGAAATGACAGTGAAATGAATGCATGGCTACAGTCAAACTTTATCTCAGAATTGGATTTGGCCTGGTTTTCACACACTGGGTCAAAAATTGTAATATGTAAAAATTCTGTAAATACAATGTAAGTGGATCACCTTTCAATGCAATGTTATGATTTTTTTTTAAGGTTAAGTCAGGCACATAAACATTCATTTAATACTTGAAACATTTTATTTAATATGTTAATAAACAACAACATCATGGGCAATAAAATAATAAACTAGTAAATTGCAACTTTCCATATTTTTAAATTAGAGATATGCTCTATAAAATCTTTACTACACTGTAAAAAAAAATCCTGATTGTTTGTCTTAATTTTTTAAGCTGAATCAAATTAATCATGAGTTCATTGAACTTATATTATGTTAAACTGACTTAAAACAGCTTCAAAGTCAAAGTCAGCTTTATTGTCAATTCAGCCACATGTACAAGACATACAGAGAATCGAAATTGCGTTACTCTCAGACCCAAGGTGCTTAACATTAATATAAAATATATATATAAAAAATAGTAGAGTTTAAGAAAAAAAGAAAATTTAGAAAATTTACAGTATATACATTGCACATAAATGTGGTCTAAGAAATATACATATGTAATAAAAAAATTGTAAACAATACAGTGACATTAAGGGCATATAGCAATGAGTGCAAAGTAAACCAGAGTTGTGCAGATAAAAAACAGTATAGTGCAAAAAGAACTTGTAAACATGATAATTGTGATAAAGTGACATATTGGGAGGTTGCATAACTTATAAAATTAAGATAGAACATGATTAGCTTAGTTCAGTAAGTTAAAATGACCTAAAACATGTGCTGTCAGGACTAATGGATCATATAATTTTTTACAGTGTAGCTAATGTTTGTATCTAGTTCATGTATGTGCCGTTTCCATGTTTGGAAAGTTGTGACTGCAAATCATGACAAATATTTTAGCAAAAATCTGTTATCGATACCACCCTTTAAAATTAGGTTCATTAGTATTTTCTCCTCACCTCTAGTTTACAATTGAATTAGTTTTTTTATCAATATATTTTTTCATTATTTTCACATCAATAATTTACAGAATCATTTCAGTATACATGTAAAAAAAAAATCTAACCACCCTCCACCCCTTTCCCACCCTCACAAGACAGAACACTTAAATAGAGAGTTTTGAGACATCGAGCTGATGTGTAAATTAAGAGGAAATAAACAATAGAACAATAATGACTAATAAAGGATTAAAGCTATGAAGTGTCATACTTATCCATTCATATTTTCAGTCAGTCAAATTATTCATGTATTCAATAAATATACCCCAAGTCTTCTGAAACATTGAAGAGTTTTTTTTTTTAAGATTAAACATTATTTTTTTTCAAAAGAATTTAATTTGTGCCGCATAGAGATTATAAGAGGTTCAAAATTTAGTTTTTAATCTCTTATTTTTTTATCTTTACATACAATTATCTAGATATTTTTGACTTTAGATTTGACTGGGAAGTCACACATTTAGTGATAGTCTCTTTTATAGATAAAAGTGCACATTTATGAATATTAAGATGTAAACCAGAAGCTAATGAAAAAAAAAGATTTTGTCTAATGCTAAGAGAACCCTCTCATTATGTAGTTTTTTTTTAAGCCTATAAACAGTGTATACAATTTATATGCATCACCACATAGGCAGAACAATCACCTTTAACAATGAAGAAAAACTGCAAAAAACAAACAAAAAAAGAAGAAACAGTTAAACAAAAATACATATTGAAAAGGCTAAATTTACTTATTAAACATATGGAAAGAACCGCAGACAGTTGAAGTTTTTAGAGCCTTTTTGTTATGAGACAATTGAATCAGTAAAGGTATTGTTTCAATTCGTTCATAAAAACCACAAACATTGGTCTGGAGTTAGAGAATTTTGACTTATGAGTGTGAAATTTAGCTTGAAGCAAAATTAAGTTCACCGCATACAACTGTTTACTTTTAGGTTGTTCATAATCAGTAAAGCCCAATACTAGGCTACATCTTTCCAATACAAAGTACATTCATTCTAAATTTGATTCGAATAAAATTCAAGACATTTTTTCAAAATATTTTTGTAAATGGACAGTACCAAAAAAGATGAACAACAGTTTCAAAACAATCATCACAAAAGGAACAGTCGGAGGAGATTATATTTTTTCACATAATGACTGGCCGGATTGAATTTATGAATTATTTTATGAGAAATCTCTTTTACTTTATTTGTTAGAAAACAACTATGAGGAAGCATCCATAGCTTTGTCTTATTATGAAGCATGGATATTCTGTAGTGAGTGAGTGACGCAGCAGTGACGCGGCGCGTCTCTAATAAGGATCCGCTCAGTCAGTAAAGCGCAGGTCAAACACACCACAACACACAGACTCACTCACTCCCTGACACTTTATATCATTCGCCCCGCCATGGACTCGGACGAGGGCTACAATTATGAGTTTGATGATGAAGAGGAGGAGGAAGAAGAGGAGGAGGAGTGCAGCGTGGACAGCGGAGAAGAGGAGGCCGTGGATGACTCGCTGGAGCTGGGCGAGGTGGAGCTGCTGGACCCCGCGGTGGCCGGAGGAGAGCCCGACGACTGCGCGGATACCGGCGGCGGCGGCCCAGGGCCCGGACAGGAGGATGAGGACTACCGCTTCGAGGTGTTGACCACCGAGCAGATCCTCCAGCACATGGTGGAGTGCATCAGGGATGTCAACGAGGTCATACAGGTAGACAATGAGCCTGTTTACCAGGGGTTTTCCGAGAGTTTCGAAGTTTGTTTATATGGGGCTGTTAGCATTAGCGGCTAACTGATCTGACAGTACGAGAGGCCTATTTATACAAAATTAAGCGTTCGTGTGTGTAGTTTTAGTACTTGTGAGGTTTTATGGAGTGTTTTTATGCTTGCATTCTGACTGTCTTGTGTTTTTGTGGTATTTTTAGAGATTTAGGGTGCTTTTTGGTGAGCTAAGTTTTGCTAGCGTGACCCAGTTTGTTAAGTCTGAACTTTAGTTAGTTGACAGCTATTAAAGATAACGTTAAATCGTATTTTGATCGTGTTTCTTTGATTGTAACGTTATATAAATGTATTGTTTATTAGGAGTTACCAGCGGGTTTCCTAGTTTGTTTATATTGTGCTGTTAGCATTAGCGGCTAACTTATTGACTACAGGCCGAATTATGCGAATTTTAACGTGCTTGTGTGTAGTCTTCATCTCCGTAAGGTTGTATTGTGTTTCATAAAAGTGTATTTATGCTTACTTTCTAGTGTCTAGTGTTTTTATGGTATTTATGGCGAATTAAAGAGATTCTTTGGAGAGCTGGGGTTAGCTAGTTTTGCTTGCGTGACCTAGTTTTCTGAACTTTAGTTGACAGCTCTTAATGATAATGGTCAAACGTATCGTGTTTCTTTGATGGTATTAAAATGTGTGGTGGATCAGATTGTAGTGCGTTTATGTTAGATTTTATTTTATGTTAGATTGTAGTGTGTTTATGTTAGCTTGACCTAGTTAGCTGAGGCTAAACTTAAGTTGACAGCTCTTAAGGATAACATCTAAACACATTGTGGTTCCTTAATACTAGGGATGGGTATCGTAAAGGTTTTAAAGACATTACTACTTTCATCGATACCACTTATCGGGTTGGTACTTTAACGGTTCTTCTACTGGTACTTTTTGTAGTGTTTTTTTTATTTTTATGAAAACAAACATCAAATTAAACATAATTAACAACACTTCATTTTATTATCACGTTTTTAATGTAAAATAAAATGAAACCAATAATAGTAAAACAAATATTTTTTTTTCTGTAAAATAATGTACAATGGTTTAAAGAAAAATTGCTCTGTTTTTAACAAATCCTCTGGATAAAAATCAACATGTTTGCCTTTTCTGGCAGCAGTCGGGATCTTCCCATTATTCCCATTCACTTTGAATGGGTGGCGTCAGCTGTTGCCGAACTGGATTGTGGATTCGTCAGTGCCGCTTCAGTGGTGTTGCTTGCTGCAGATGTTATGACTTTCTTAACTTCAAGCACCAATGGAAGCGTCAGCCAATCAGATCGCTGTATGCAAATACACCAGCTCAGACAATAGCCAATTGCTGACTAATTTCATTGGCCGACGCTGCTATGACTATCGCGTCAGCCCCAACTTCAGACACGCCCTCTGTCAAGAAGCCCCGTGTGGATGGGGCGTTATACTCGTCGGAAACACAAGTATTTCTCATGTGAGATTCCCAACTGTGCAGACGAATATCAAATATTGCAAATTAGAAAAGATTGGCCAGTTAATTTACGCAACCGTAAGTAATGTTTATTCAGCAATAACTTCCGGTACTCATAGCAGAACCGTCAATGTCAGAATGTCAGAACTTATTGATACTTCTGTCTTTTATAATGTAACACCGATACTGTAAAAGTACAGAGTTTCGGTACCCATCTCTGCTTAATACTATATAAGAACGTGTTGATTGAAGTAAAGTTGGTTTCATATTCGCACATTCTGACTTTCTCCTTAGTAATATAATTTCAGAAAACAACACTTTTTTTAGCAGTCTTATTAGCAGCCAGTGACTATAAAAGTTCAAAATAAATAGTGCTACTGTTGTTTTGAAGTCATATTTACATTGAATTTTGTTCTGAAATCACAAGTATCATGGTAAACAATATAGGTAGTGTGTCACAAGTTGTCACTGAACGAATATGCGAATATGAAACCAACTTTACCTCAATAACATGTTGTGAGTCAGATGTTAGTGTGTATGTTATTTGTTTTAGTGCTGTATTTAGAAGGAAGGGTAGAGAAGCTCTGCCACTGCATGCTAATGCAACATAATTGTATGTAGAATTTGACTTGTTGTGTTTGCTAAACACTTACACAAAACATTTTCAGCTATTTGTTTCAGTTGAGAAAAAAACTCTGCATTTAAAAAAAAATGATGTAAAACAACATCTATCAAGCAAACAAGCGTGTAACTTTAGTGAAAATAAGAAAACTTTGGTGAAAATTACAACTTCTATACATGGGCTAATGACAGTCACCGTTGGCTTTCATGTGTTTTGTTTGTGATTAGAGGAGGTCCAGCAATATAGGTAAAACTTTCATGCTCAAAGCCGCTACGTTGTTGTTTAGAGGAATATTGTTTTTGTAGTGTAGAGAAAAACCTAAAGTATCAGTTTTAGGTTATTTATAAGATGAAGTTGACGGAACAGAGCTTTTTTTAAGACTTGATTTAGTTAAACTGGTAAAAGTTATTCAGTTTCTCTTGGATGGAAAAACACCACCTAAAAACATGAATGACTATGAATTAAAAATTTTTAAAAATGTATTAAATGGTTTGTGTGAAATAGGCCTTCTAAAATCATTTTCTTTTACGGTTATTTTATTGCCAGATTAAATTTAAAATGTCATTATTTACTTGTTCAAAACCTACTGAAAGTATTCAGACCCCTTTAAATTGGTCACTCTTTATTATATTGCAGCCATTTTCTAAAATCTTATTAAGTAATTTTTTTTCCTCAATGTACACATAGCAGCCCATATTTATGGAAAAACACAGAATTGTTGACATTTTTGCAGACCCTTTTCTCAGTATTTGGTTGAAGCACCCATTCGGCCTAATACAGCAGTTTCTAATAGTCTTTTCGGGAAAGATGCAACAAGTTTTTCACACCTGGATTTGGGGATCCTCTGCCATTCCTTCTTGCAAATGCTCTCCAATTCTGTCAGGTTGGATGGTAAACATTGGTGGACAGCCTTTTAGGTCTCTCCAGAGATGCTCAATTTTGTTTATGTCAGGGCCCTCGCTGGACCATTCAAGAACAGTCACGTAGTTGTTGTGAAACCACTCCTTCAATTTTTTAGCTGTGTGCTTGAAGTTATTGTCATGTTGGAAGGTAACCCTTTGGCACAGTCTAAGGTCCTGAGCACTCTGGAGAAGGATTTTGTCCAGGATATCCCTGTACTTGGCTGCATTCATCTTTCCCTCGCCTCAATTGCAGTCTTCCTGTCCCTGTAGCTAAAAAACACCCCCACAGCATGATGCTGCCACCACCATGCTTCACTGTAGGCACTATATTGGGAAGGTTGGGAAGGTGATGAGCAGTGCCTGGTTTTCTCCACACATGTTAAAAGGCCAAAAAGTTCTATTTTTGTCTAATCAGACCAGAGAATCTTATTTCTCACCATTGTGGAGTCTTTCAGGCTGATTTTCATGTGTCTTGCACTGAGGAGAGGCTTCCGTCAGGCCACTCTGCCATAAAGCCCAGACTGGTGGAGGGCTGCAGTCATGCTTGACTTTCTACAACTTTCTCCCATCTCCCGACTCTGTCTCTGAAGCTCAGCCACAGTGATCTCTGGGTTCTTCTTTAAGTTTCTCTCACCAATGCTCTCCTCTCCTGATAGCTCAGTTTGGCCAGTTCTATGAAGGGCCCTGGTCATCCCAAACGTCCTATAAAGGTCTTATAAAGACAAGTGTGTGGCTTTCCTAATCAAGTCTAATGAGTATAAGCAAAACACAACTGGACTCAAATGAAGGTGTTGATCTTGAAGAAATGGACAGCACCTGAGTTAAATATGAAGGGTCACAGCAAAGGGTCTGGATATTTAGCACCATGTGATATTTTAGTTTTTCTTATTTAATAAATCTGCAAAAATGTCAACAGTTCTGTGTTTTTCTGTCAATATGGGGTACTGTGTGTACATTGAGGAAAAAATCTACTTCTTTGTGATTTTAGCAAAAGGCTGCAAGACAGAGTGAAAAATTAAGCGTGTCTCAGGTGGTGTATTTTTTGTTAAACATTAAAGATATATTGAGGAATGTTGGAAACCAGTTACCACATGGGACAATAATCGTTTTCAAGGTTTTAAAAACACTATTTTCTGTAATACTGTTCCTGAGGCATGTGTAATATTTTTTATTTACTTTTTTTGAGTTGTTTTTTTAGGACAACAGTATCTTCAGCAGAAAAAAAATCTTCATAGATGCTGTTTTGAATTGTAAAGAAATCTGTTTTTGAAACATTAAGACGGCCGAAGTCAATAATTCATTTGAATTATTTAGCCTGACATGTTTACTGTAACAAAATACTATAAATCTGTCAAAAAATAAAAAAATGTTGTGTTCAGAGGGGATAAAAGTATTTATTTTTTACTCCGACATTTAAAAAGAATATATTTTAGAGCAGTGTGCACAATACTGTGAGGCAGTGATATTTTTATCCAACGTTATCATACTGTCAGAATCTTATACCAGCCCATGCCTAGTTACTACTGACTTCCATAATGTTTGTCTTTCTTACCATGAAAGTCTATGAATGCACGTTTCCAACTTTCTTCAATATACATTATTTTGTGCTCAACTAAACCAAAAACTCAAACTGGTATGCAGAGTGTAAAGGGTGAGTAAATTATAACATACATTTCATTTTTGGTGAACTATCCCTATCCCAAGAGATAGCTACAGTATATCAACTTGCTAACTTATAAAATAATTTTAAAAAAATCTCATAAAAAGTCCAGAGAATTGCATTGTCATTCAGAATAAAGTATGACTCCAAAATACCTCTAATTGTATTATTTTAAATGTTTAGTTTTTAGTGGTTGACGTCAATTTTAGTATGCACGCCCGGTTAATTATTGAGTTTAATGAAATAAAAATTTTAGGGAGTCCTTTAAATTATTTATCAAAAAATAAATAAATATGTCTGTGTATTTATATTGTTATTAGTATTAGTTTGAGAAATATACTATTATGTACAATACTAAAACTTTTCTGTCACATTTTGTTTGCCAAACTATCATTTTACTGCACATGAACAATATTTATTTTAATAATTAATAGTCTATTTGTAGTTTAATAGTCATATACACATGATCTGATTTCATAAAATGTGCTGAATTTAAAGTATTTATCCACAATATGTCAAATTTCACATTCATTACTGTGTTCAACTATTTTAATGTGTGTCTGTGACTGGATTTGGTCTTTTTCAGAACCCAGCTACAATAACCAGAATACTCCTCAGTCACTTCAACTGGGACAAAGAAAAGCTTATGGAGAGGCAGGTTATTTTGCTTGACGTTCTTATAAAAGATTTCTTTGTGCTGATGAATCTGAATAAACCTCATGAATTGACCAGTGTCTTTCTTTATCTTCCTCTATATAACATATAAATGCTCTTGCAGGTACTTTGATGGAAATCTGGACAAGTTGTTTTCCGAGTGCCATGTCATAAACCCCAGCAAAAAGCCCAAAACGCGACCGATGAGCACACGATCCTCCAGTCAGGATTTGCCCTGCCAGATCTGCTATCTCAACTACCCAAACTCGGTCAGTCTATAAAGTGTAATGCCTCTCAGCTCAAGTATAATGTCTTCGTAATCACTGCCACTCCTAAATGCCCTTCAGATAGACCTTTGATAACAGAACTATGAAGAAGTCCATTGAAATGACTCCACTTAGTTTGCACAACTTGATGACTTATTGGATAGGAATGTGTTTTTTTTTTCTCTCCTAGTATTTCACAGGTCTTGAATGTGGACACAAGTTCTGCATGCAGTGCTGGGGTGATTACTTAACCACCAAAATCATTGAGGAGGGAATGGGACAGGTCTGATTGCAGATTGAATCACCGACTACATTTTTCCTCCTATGTAAAATGTGTTTGTTCATATTGCATGCTTGTTTTTTGTCTTCACAGACCATCTCGTGTCCTGCTCACAACTGTGATATATTGGTTGATGATAACACTGTAATGTAAGTGCTATTCTGTGCGTGAAATTAGCCTATTTTTGGACTTATTTCCTATTTTTTAATGTTATGTTTTCATTTGTAGGCGACTGATCACAGATTCTAAAGTGAAATTGAAGTATCAACATTTAATCACAAATAGTTTTGTAGAGGTAAGAAGTTTGTTTGTGTTGCTTGCATGATTAGAGTCTGAAATACAAAAGACGTTGTTAAGACAAAGATGCCAGTTGCTAATATCAGTCCGTTAGTAAATCTATAAGTGGCTACTTTTACTTGGACATCAGTAATCTATGTGCCTTAATCTGAATAAGACAATAATATGATTAAGGTGTTTACATGAGCTGCTTTTTGAATGATTGTTCCTTCATGATCCCGTTTTACATCTTATACACATAATTCAATTAACATCATTGCGTTACTCGCTATCCAAATGTCCTCCAGAGTTTCATGTAATTTTGGATGTTTCATTTTTAATTTATCGACTTTCACTGCAGTTTGGCACTTTCAGTTCATGTGAAAGTGGAACATTTCATGCATACTGCCCTGTAGAGCTGCACAATTAATCGTAAAAAGATCGCAATCTCGATTCGACCCCCTTGACGATCTTAATTCAGCATTTCTACGATTCTGTCAGTCATATTTTCAAGTTCAGGATAGAAGTAAAGGTGGCCGCACAAGTCTTCACATTGTTTTACATAAATTGTTCAGCAATGCAAAATCACATGTGACGTGAGCTGACCGTCAGCTGTTACCACAGTAACGGTGGGCGTGCATGCGCGTGCCTCTTAATGAAGTCTACTTTAGTGAACAGAACCTGCATAGGCTGTAAATAGCAGGTAATAAAATTTGTAAGTAACATTCAGTTTGTGGCACAGAGCGATCGTTTGTGAGCCGCGTGGGAAGTGAAACACTCTTAGCAGTGAAAATGAAACCGAAAGCGCACAGTGTTGCCAGATGTAGCTGACTGATTCCAGCCAAAAAGTATCCAAAACCTGCCGAAATTCTAAAATACCCACCCAGTCTTCTGTATCTACGAAAATCACGTCAGTGACAGATTTTAAACAGAAATTTACAGATTGTAAGCATGTATCTCAAACACAATAATTCAACATCAGAATTATCATCAGCATTAATGACCAGGACAAATCTAAAGTCTGTTCAAGTTCAAATTTAGCATTTTAACCTACAGTAGACCTACACAAAGCCTATTATTGCTTTACCACATGTTTGAGAATAACAATACCCAAATAAAACCCCACTTATATTAACCTTTATTTTACATCTACAGAATCGTGAGAAAATCGTGATCTTTATTTTAGGCAAAAAAAATCGCGATTCTCATTTTAGCCAGAATCGTGCAGCCCAACCCCCCTGTGACAAACAAGATATTGGATGAGAGTATGAACTGCCGGAAGAGTTTTGTTTTAATGGAATTTGATACCGCACGCTGCACAGGGAAAAAAACTCTGTGTTTCGCAACGCAGGAGTCTATGTTCCTATACTGACTCAGTAGGTGCAGAGAATAGTGTCAATCAGCTGTGTGTGTGTATAGACTATCCTGTCGCAAAATGCGGCGAAAATCCTATATGATGGTAAAAGTTTGATTGTGGTGTTTTACATGTCTGTACTGCACTTCAATAATGCGACCTCAATCAGCATACTCCACATGTCTTAATCCGATTTCTGTTTAGCTCCATTATGACTTTAGTCAGAATAAATTAATCATAAAATCACTGTTTACATGGTAGACTCTTAATCAGGGTATTGTCTTAATCGGATTATTGGTGTCCATGTAAACATACTCGCGCAAGATATGGAATAATATCACTTTTCTAAGCAGAAATACCAAGTCTTCGGAAAGTTCCGGGAGTCTCCCGCAAATGCATAGAGACTCCCGGATGCCAGCAAACAAGTGATAATCCCCCTGAAATTGCGCGTCTCCCTTCCGGTCCTCAAATAAGTTGCGCACACCTCTCACCCCTCACTACCAGATACCTCCTCGCTCTTCAGTTGCGCACACTTGCAAACACGGCCTCCGACCCCCCTGCTCTTCACATACATCTATTTGGCGGTTCATTCTGCAGTGGCGACTCCAGATTAATAAAGGGACTAAACCAAAAAAAAAAATGAATGAATGAATAAAGCATTAGTAAATGTTGAACTATGATTAATAAATGCTGTACAAGTATTATTCATGCTTAGTCCATGCTAGTAAAAACATTAACTAATGAAACCTTATTGTAAAGTGTGACCGTTTTTACATATTAATATTATGCATATTATTTGTTTATTATAAAACAAATGGTATCAGACATGTTCTGGTTTCAGTGCATTCATAGGTATGTAGCTTTTAGTGATTTGTGACATGTCTGTTGATATTGCATGCATTAATACAGCGTTTCTCAAGCACATTCCTGAAACACAAACCAAACACCTGATACAGATCATCAGCTCATTAGCAGAGACTGAAAGACCCGTAACAGGTGTGACAGACAAAGGAGACACTTAAAACATGTAGTGTTGCTGGTCCTCTCAGTACGTGGTTGAGAAACACTGCATTAATACGGAAATTTGTTTTGAAGTCTTTCTCATTGGTATTCTCTGCTCTTCAACAGTGTAACAGACTGTTGAAATGGTGTCCGGCTCCTGACTGCCACCATGTGGTCAAAGTTCAGTATCCTGATGCCAAACCAGTGCGCTGTAAATGTGGGAGACAGTTCTGGTAAGAGTCTGATGCAGTGCAGAGCTTCAGTGCATCAGCAACGTCAGCTTTGTATCTAATAATAGTGCAGGGGATCAAGCTTAAAGGTGCTGTATGTAAGTTTTTACCTCGTCTAAAGCATAAAAACACAGTAATATGTTTGTAGATATTTAAGAAACATGAGAAGTAAATATTCTTGTTTATCTGAAAAACAATGCTGAATTCAGATATTCTGCTTTGAAAATGTGCATTATGTGCCCGAGCAACTGTCTTTGTTTTTGTCCCTTTAATGCCACTGCCAGTTTAGCCAAATATATTTCAGCCTTGGTGGAAACAGCGTATTTCATTCATTCATTCAGTCAGGAAGACTCTCAAAATATTTTAATCTCAAAGAAATTTAAATACAGCCATTCAGAAGCACAGAATAGTGCACTTACTAGACTTCAACGAAATGGTAAGGTTTATAACCTAATTAAAACATAATAAACAGAGCTCGAAATTAAGCTTGTTGCTTTGGAGCACTGGTGCTCCTAACTTAAAAAATTTAGACACACCCACTAATTATAAGCACCGTTACTACGAGTTTTATACAAACAGATTTATTGCATTTGATATCAACTCTAATCAAAACAAACAAGCAAATGTGCTGTGTTCTCACGGGGGGTGTCAGCGCTTTACATTTTCGCAGTTGTAGCTTTCCCTGTCATCCCAAGGCAGAAGGCAATGACAGAGTGATTGACGGCTAATTTCAACCAATCTATTTGTGTTCAGTTCTAGAGCAGTGGGCCAACAAGAAGAGCGCGAAGGCGGGGCAAGCATTACATGCTTTGTTTACTGCAACAAGTTGACAACTGTTTTAAACTATTCCTGAGTGCTGCGTTTCAAAAGCAAAGATGCATTCTGAGTGAATGTCTCCTAAATCCACGCATACAGTGAACATTTTGCAGTAAAAACCGCTCCCACAAAACAATTTTATGCAGTCGCACAATGCTCCCAAATACATTTTGAGCTCGCATAAAATTTCGGGCGCATATGCAACCAAAATAGTCACAATTTTAAGCCCTGTTAAACCTCTTTAACATTATTTAATGTACATGCAGAATCACTGATAGGTGCTGTTCACTGAAATTCCATTCCAAGCAGTTTCTTTTATTTGCAAGATCTGAGGTGAACTATCTGCTGCTGCTTTCAGTAGTATGGCAATAAATGTCATGTAAAATGGCTTTCAAGCTCACGTTGTTAGCATTTAACACTGAATAAAGCACATGAGGTGTACCTGAGGTGATCATTGTCCGTTTTCTGTTGTTCAGCTGCAAGAAACAGAAGCAGTTTCTAAAAACTGAATGTCATGTTATTTAGGGCAAAAACTCCTTTTAAAATGGAAAATATTCTTTCTTTCGCATGCCGTTGTTTTTATTTGGAGCAGGATTTACATCAGCCCTAAATCAGCCTTCAGGCTCGACAGTCACTGCGCTTGCATTTGTTTTGGGTTTCCGCGTCTGCGATTGTGTTTGTTTTGAACCAAGTGTGCAATACCTAGTTCAACCACTGGGTGTCAAACTTCCATATTGCACCTTTAAAGGGAGAGTTAAATTTTTATTATACAAATTCTGCCCTCATTTACTCACCAGTCCCTAAAAAAATTAGCTTTTACTTCAGTTTTCAGCTTTTTTTAAAACATCTTCTTCAGTGTTCAAGCACTTGAGGGTGAGATAATAGTGAGAAAATGTTTATTTTTGGGTGAGCTATCCCTTTAATCATTTGATGTGTGATTGATGATTGTATACGATTTTTTTTCTGTGGCAAATCCTTTTCTGTCGTGGTTTAATTCTGTTTGAAAGAAAAACATTACAGAGCTTTGAAATAACGGTAGGGTAAGAATTCTCTTAAATGCTTGTTTTTAAATGTGAATCCTTCAAAAATGGTAAAAGAATTGTATCAAAAGTAAACCCTAAACTGTTTTATATTTTTATTTTATGCATTATTTATTGCCAATAATGTATTTTTATTGTTAGAATTGATTATTATTAGGATTATAATAAAGTGATATTTATAAAATGTTGTCAATTTGGTCTTGTTTTGCCATGAAATGAAGCTGATAAAGCAATAAATGCAAAACTCTCTCTCTCTCTCTCTTTTTCTCTTTAATGTGTTTTTATTTGATCAATAACCAGTTTTAATTGTGGAGAGAACTGGCATGACCCTGTTAAATGCAAGGTAAGTGGACTGCTAATTACTGCATTAGGCACTCACATTATGTTTAATTATCAATGTTATTATTGCATTGGATTTGATGAGAGTTTTTCCTTTTCTATAATATAATATTTTTACTCTTGAAGTGGTTGAGGAAGTGGATAAAGAAGTGTGATGATGACAGTGAAACATCCAACTGGATTGCAGCAAATACCAAGGTACTGGAATGTTACATCATTAAAAAGTAATTTAACGGTAAATGTATTTAATAATAGAAATGTATTAAAAACACCTAATGTAATTCTTTAAAACATATTTTAAAATAACAACAAAAAAGGATGAAGGGGCATTGAAGAAGAATTCAAAGACTCTTGGTGAACTCTGGGAGTCCTGCAAGAATGCTTTCTTTGCCATTCCAGATGACTTTATTAATAAGTAATTTGAGTCATTGCAGAGATGTATAGATGCAGTCCTTCAAGCTCATGGGAGTCATACACAATATTCATTCATTTCCACTGCAGCATGACTTTATATTCTATACTGTACATTATTTCTGTTAAGTGATAAGACTTTTGTCTAAGCAAAGTCAGACCTTACTGTCCTAAATAATTAAAAATCAAGGCATGATCATATTTTATTTTGGTAAAATAAGCATAATCTGCATAATTTGCCTTTCATATAAGCCACTTCTGATACCAAATGATCAGCTAGAAGGCAAGTTATTAATTGCTGTGCCTAAAACTTGTCAGGTAGTGTACATATAAAGTGAAGTGTCAGGCGAGGAGGAAAAAGCAGAGCGGAAAATAATTTCATTTTAATTTTGAACAGGTCTATGCGTTTGCATAACAAAACAAATAGATTTGCATGAATTTGACTAGCAATAACAAATAGTCCTACATACTAAAGAGTAAAATGTGTATCGTGTGTTCCCCAAAGTTTCACTTTCACATTGAAACTTCTGTCAGTACAATTGTTTTTCAAATATTGAAATAATTTGATGCATATTTTCAGCTGTCATCATTGACACCGCATACATGCTCAATCGATGCGTCAATAAACCTAAGCTGGCTATTCCCGGTTTTCCTAGGAATGTCCCAAATGTCATGTGACCATTGAAAAAGACGGCGGATGTAATCACATGGTGTGTCGAAACCAGAATTGTAAAGCAGAGTTCTGCTGGGTTTGTCTCGGCCCCTGGGAGCCCCACGGCTCAGCTTGGTGAGTCCCCTCATAACCGCTCATGTCTTTTTAAGCACATTGTTTGTTCATTATAATAACATGTCTATTTCTCTCAGGTATAACTGCAATCGCTACAATGAAGATGATGCAAAAGCAGCCAGAGATGCTCAGGAGGTAATTTCAGTCTTCATCTTTAATCTCAAAGCTTGTTTTTCTTACAGCATCACATCAGTGGAATTTGATACCACAATTTGTTAGAAGATGTGTATATTTTAAGTCATTTAAGTTTAGTTTTAGGAAATTGTGAACACTAGGCTATTTGATGTTATTGTTGTGGTTGTTTTTTGTTGTTCATTTGAGTAATGTTTATAGTTTGAATTTGTATTTTTGTTGGTATGGCCTTTAACATCTGGCTAAGGGATGACCAACTAGCCCAGGGGTGGCCTGTTGCTGGAGAGCCACCTTGGTGCAGATTTCAGTTGCTACCTATATCAAACACACCTGAACCAATTAATTAGGACCTGAACACCACGTGATAATTACAGGCAGGTGTGTTTGATATGGGTTGCAACTGAAATCTGCAGGAAGGTGGCTCTCCAGGAACAGGGTTGGCCACCCCTGAACTAGCCTTTGGGGTAATTTGGGTACGTTTACATTCTTGATGAATGCTGATTGAATTACACTATGCCTTGTTGTGAAATAAGTAAACAAATAAATAAAGACTGTTTGCCAGTCCCTATATGCACTGCTACGTTAACAGGGTGTCTGTGGGATCTTAATAAATATTAAAAGTTAACCAATCTATATAGAGAAATTTAAGGCTCTTAAAGGTCCTGTGAAGTGCTTTAAAATGTGCACTTTTATTCTTTGTTTGACGTAATCTCAACTGAAACACGAAGAGAGGGTAGGACATAATGTACTTTAAAAAAAAAAAAAAAGCACAAAAAAGCAGCCAGTAGCATTTCGTTTTATCACTGCTCTGCCTGCCGCTCTGAAAATTTTTCAACTCAAGGATGTCTTAAAGGGGGCGGGGCATGCCAGACACTAGAGAGCATTTGATTGGTCAAGATTTGATGAGAAACTGAAGTATGAAGTAAGAAAAAAAATGTCGATCCATTCAGGCGGTGTTGACAAACTACAGGCTTTACATGTTAAATCAGTTTCATTTCTTCTAAAGGTGAATTTTATCAAAGTTTTGTAGCACACTAGCTTATAGATATCTTAAACTAACAATACTGATACTAACGTCTAAAAAACTTTTTTTTTTTTTTTTTTTTTTTTTTTAGTTTCATGGGACTTTTAAAAAGTCTTTAATGCTATTTAATAAGGTATTCAATTTTATATTTACTAGTTGTAGGCTAAAGTTTGCCTGAATTTGAAATGCGAATGTTATGATGCAGCATAGGTTAGTTTATAAAATCCATAAGATCCTGCTAGATTTGTCATCATGCTGATTTGACCAAGGCAACACCGTTATTCCCACTGTTTAACCTGCTGAAAGAGAGTGAATTAGCATTGTATGTAGAATCTTTGTACGTTTACATCACTTCCCATAGTTCAGCCTGTGCTTGTCATCGTTCCCAACCTTCTGCATTATATTGCACTGATTAGTTAACCCAAGCTAAGGCTCTTTAGTTGTGCTTTCTTACATTTATTATTTAGTAAATATACTTGGTGATGTGACGTCATGTTGAAGCTTTGAAGCATGTATTAAAAAAATGATACATCTTGCAGTGAAGCAGTGTACCGGAGCTTGATTAATTTTGCCATAATCACATGATCAGTGATGTCCAAAGCGTCATTTTTACCCATACCCATGTGACTGCTTCGAATTTTAATTTAAAAGTTAAACACCCTCATGGGTTAGTAAAGTGTATAGTGAGAGATTAGGTGTCGATTACATACATTTCTGCTGTTTCATAGCACTCTACCTATCCCAAGCAGCAATAATTAAAATAAAATACAATATAGTAATTTATAGTAAAACGCTTTTAAACCATACTAAAGCTTATTATTGTATTATTTACAGCTTTTTTTTTTAAATGCCACAGCATATTGTAGTATAGTGTGTGACGGAGGCCAGCTGGCGAGTTCAGCACAAAACCCTTATTCCATTGCCTCTCCTAAGAACATTCGCGTCTTATGCAGGAACCGCTGGTTCGATCCCCGCTCAAAATTAGTGGGGACTGGTTGGAATACGATATTTTTGAATACTTTGGATTTTACTACAGTCATCACTGATTTATAACATGCGTTATATGTTAAAACACTACAGTAATTGGGTAATTTGTTTATATTACTATTGTTATATTACTACATGATTGAGTTGGTCAGTTATGTATATTTGACATTTTTGCAACACAGTGCTTTCCCACACTTTAACCAGCAGGGTTCCTCATTGAGCTCTAACTCGAAAGCTTCAGAAAGAGTTAAAAGGTTCACTGGTTCAGAAAGCTTCGTTTCACCATCACTAAATATACTGCTAGTTAAATAGTAGTTAAAATGTCGCCAATGTAGCTGGTTAAAACCTAAAGGGATGATAAGGTCTTAATATATGGTAAGAGTCTCAGAACAGGTCCTAAAAGGTCTTAAATTTAATTGAAGTGAGATACATGAATTGAAATGTTTCTCTTTAGATACAACTGATGTTGCCAAAGTTTTCCTTTTTAAAAATTTAATTCGGAAAAAGGTAATAAATAGCAGTTTATTTGATAATATCGCAATTATTTCAATTAGCAGTGATATTTATTGTGACACAATTTTTGGGATAATATCGTATTGCTGGGACACAGCTCTTGATGTCAAGAACATTATTATTAATAATACCTTAAAAGTTCCATTCAATGAGCAATTGCTGATTATTAGGGATGCGCAATATAATTTTTTTGGAACTGATCTGATCCTGATACCAAAATTTGGAGTATCGACCGTTACAGATCCGATCCTGTTATTGTGTCCTTTTTTTAACCATAATACAGTTTCTATAGTTCTTGTGATAAAATCAAATAATATATCTTCTTTAGTAAAAAAAATATCAGCTACGACACAATTTAACTTAAAACATTATGCTAGCTGTAAACTAGGCTGCATTATTTGAGCATTCGTTATGACACTGATCGGTTGTGGTCCAGCATATGTTTCCCTTTTTAATACAAAGATTTTTCTTTGAGCCACTATTGATCCAAATCATTGGGGAAAATAACCAGCCTTTTATTAGAGTCTGACATTTTTCTTTGTCAGGCTCTAATAAAAACCAAACTGTCTGAGGCCAGTTTTACTTGATAAACATTCCCTCGCCTAAACTCGCCATGAGTGAGATGGAGAAAATGAAAGCACATCAGCACAGAGAAAAAAATCAGATGCTCAAGACATAATCTTTAAAATAATGACTTATATTTAACATGTAGCAAATATATAAGAGGCTTGTGATACAACAATTACAGTGAAGCATTAATTAAATCCTCATTTTCCATGGAGCTAAACAAATCATCCAGCCGCACAGTTGTGTTCATTGGTTATCTGTTTTTGTCAGAAAAATATTCTTTATGGAACAAATTTGGTTTGGCATAATTAATCTTAATTTTGATCGGATTTGGATCTGTACCAGCTGGCCGATACCCACAAAAAATAAATATCCAGCAAAAATATGCAGTATAGAACCGATATCCGATCCAAGTATTGGGATCAGTGCATCCCTACTAATGATTATTTTTTACAATTCTACTAGCTTTTTATTTGCAGAAAAACATTTTCTTTTGGTTGATTTGAGTATCGTTATCAGATTCTGTCATAGCAGTACACACGTCTTGCTTTATTAAATCCATTAATTGATCCTTTGTGTAAAACACTGAATCTGTCAGCCATGTTAATCTGGGGAAATTAACGTCTCTGGTCACCTTTGTCATTTTAGTTATTGTCAGAAAGACTAAAAATAGCTGTAGCAGGAAAGCATGACTTCTGTGGCGGTGTGGCATAGATCTGGTAACCACATGAATGCTAGTACACTGCTGTTGTCTCCACTTTTCAGCGGTCCCGTGCAGCCCTTCAGCGATACCTCTTCTACTGCAACCGCTACATGAACCACATGCAGAGTTTGCGCTTCGAGCACAAGCTGTACGCGCAGGTCAAGCAGAAGATGGAGGAGATGCAACAGCACAACATGTCGTGGATCGAGGTGCAGTTCCTGAAGAAGGCCGTGGACGTGCTGTGCCAGTGCCGCTCCACGCTCATGTTCACCTACGTCTTCGCCTTCTACCTCAAAAAGAACAACCAGTCCATCATCTTCGAGGTGAGCGAAATATCCTCTTCTGCTCAAGTGTAGAAATGTTTTCAGACTTTTTTTTTTTTTTAACCTTTTTAGGTTTAAAATGCTTTGAAATGTGCGTTTTTATTCAACGCTTGATGTAATCTCAACTGAAACACGAAGAAAGGGTGGAACTTTGTGTAGCTCATCCCCTTTTTAAAAAAAACAGCTAATAGCGTTTTGATTTTATCACCTCTCTACCACTGAGAGCTTAAGTCAGGCCTGTCCAAACTCAGTCCTGGAGGGCTGGTGTCCTGCAAAGGTTAGTTACAAACTCAATCAGACACACATGGGCTAGTTAATCAAGCTCTTACTAGTTTTTCTAGAAACATCCTTGCAGGTGTGTTGAAGCAAGTTGGAGCTAAAATCTGCAGGACACTGGCCATCCAGGACCGAGTTTGAACACCCCTGGCTTAAGTGCATCAAATGAGAAGCGTATTTAAAGGGGCGGAGCATGTCAGATACTATTGAGCATTTGATTAGCCAGTTGACCCATATAGACAGCAAACCGCTAATAACAAGTATAAACAAGTAGCACAATAAAACTTTTTGGCTTAACTTCTGTTAGATGCCTTCTCCCTGACTGCGATAGAGTGCATGATGGTCGGCACTCTGTTGCCGGGCTGTCAGAATCTCTGTAGCTGGATAGGCAGAAGAGTGATATTTATTCATGTATTTATTTATTGTTATTCAATGAATTAAATATCAGAACAAAAGAGTTTCATTAGCTGAAATGTCTGATCATTGTACTTATTACTGTTTACATTACACTTACGTTACCAAGCCAACAACTGGGACATTTGTATTACATTCCAGAGTTCCCTTATGAGTGCAATATATTGTAACCTGACCCGGACCCCACTGAACCTTTAAAATATAGACTTGACTAACTCGCATGGGTCCTGTGAAGACCTCTAATGCATACAAAGTAGAAATTAACTACTGAAGTCAATGGGTACTGGTTCAAACAATTGGAGGAAGCATAAATGATTGCATGATTAGAGTTTTTAACTAAACTTTCCCTTTAAGTGCATGTTTTGTATGTTTCAGAACAATCAGGCTGATTTGGAGAACGCTACGGAGGTGCTCTCGGGTTATCTAGAGAGAGATATCTCCCAGGATTCTTTGCAAGATATCAAACAGAAAGTTCAGGATAAGTATAGGTGAAATTTTACTAAATATAATTTCTTTGTGTGTTTGTGTGTGTTTTTTTTATTCTGTTTTTATTGTTTGTGTTGTTCACTGCTACTTTTTTTCTCTATTTGTTCTAATACTTTTAATAGTTGTAGTTGGCTTCTATTTTTATATTTATATTTTAGTTTTAAGGTTTAGTAATTTTGTGTGCATTTTAAAATCGATCTGTCAAGCACCAAACCTTTTAAATCACATATTATTAGGGGTTGAACGACTTTAGATTTTTGGAAGTAGACTTTTATGTTGTCAAAGTCGAGTTGATGTCGACTAGACACTAGTGATGTCATCAATAAAATACAGGATGCAAATGTTTTGCAACATGCCACAATTTGCGATTTATTTGCAAGAAATTTATACACACTATGCACACTATTACCTATGACTAATTTTAGTGCAAAACCAATGCATTGTCAACACTTTTATTTCGTTGATAATGCAACATTAGCACCCGGGATAATTTTACTGCTAAGTAAATGCAGTCAACATACTGAACACTGAACGCTCTAGTAAAAATGTAACAATAACAGATGCAGAAGTAATGCATACGTCCTCAGCACACAGATTCATTTGAAGTTATTCATAACAACATAACGCACAAAAGACAAAAGCCTTATGCTGTCAGAGTCCTGCTCTGTAAGCTCAGTAAGCTGTTCAAAATCCTGATCAAGTTGGGCATTTTTCACAATTAGTGGCCTATCAGAAGTCTCCTCGCTGCTCTTCTTCACTGTTCACAGGAGATGCTGTTTATACACGCTATGAAGTTTGTCACACCTCTAGCAGCTGTGCGGTTTCTGCGCGCTTCATTGTTCAATTACAAAACATGTCACAGCGTCTACGATTTGCAGAGGACAACAGCCAATCACATGACTTTTCCAGGGTTGCATAAGCATGATTGGCTAGCATCTGCTATAGCAGGGGTTCTCAACCTCTTTCATCGCTGGCCCCCCTTCTTTCTCCGATCAATTTTTGAAGGTCCACCTGTCTGACATTTTCTTTCAAATGTTTTTATGAAATGCCACTTCAGATATGAATGCAATTGTACCAAATACCAGAAGTGAACCGCCAACTGTACAACAAACTTTAGTTTTTAGAACGATCGTTTGTGTGCGTTTGTCTTGTCTTTCAGTTTAAGTATGTAATAATAATGAATTCACCTCCGCCTATGACGGCGATGCCATCGTCCATCGCGATGTTTCACATTAGACATCGTACGATGCCAAATTGATTGACATCGCTTACCCCAGGGTGAACACAAACCAGCTGAGGGGGTACAATCAAACTTTGGTTCGGACCAAGTGTGAAAGCACCCTTTAAGTTCACATGAATCTTTGACACTAAAAAAATTACTTTTTAAAAAGTGCTTCATATGATCTGAGAAGTTTCATTCACCTTTGTGTGTAAAGCTGCCATGAAGTTCAGGTCAAACCACATGATGTGCATAGCGCGACATGAAAGTTGACTAGTCTTGACTGTATGTATAGTACAGACCGAAAGTTTGGGCACACCTTCTCATTCAAAGAGTTTTTTTTATTTATTTTTTTCATGACTATAAAAATTGTAGATTCACACTGAAGGCATCCGAACTACGAATTAACACATGTGGAATTAAATACATGACAAAAAAAAGTGTGAAACATCTGAAAATACTGTATGTATGCGCGTGTGTGTGTGTGTGTGTGTGTATTTGTGTATTTGTGTATTTGTGTGTGTTTGTGTTTGTGTGTGTGTGTGTGTGTGTGTGTGTGTGTGTGTGTGTGTGTGTGTGTGTGTGTGTGTGTGTGTGTGTGTGTGTGTGTGTATTGTATAATGTTTTCATATTTTAACTTCAGTTTCTTCTGTTCTATTTCTGAACACTAATAACTGTCAGACAGGTTTATGTATTAATATAAACAGATGTGCTTGTTGACTCTAACATCTGTTACAGTGCATAATATGAGGTGTTGGTAAACCTCTGTCAATGTTGTGCATCTGTCAGAGAAAACTCTAATCAAACAGAGTGCACTGGTAGAATTTGAAAACCCAAATACTTATTTAACTATACACTTCATTATATATAATGGAAAGAGTATGTAGCTTCATACTCTAGTATGTAGCTGTTGGGAAAAATGTTGAGAGCTTCTGACCCAAGGCCTATTTCTTCTCTGGTGTTTAGATACTGTGAGAGTCGGCGGCGGGTGCTGCTCCAGCACGTTCACGAGGGCTATGAGAAAGACTTGTGGGAATACATTGAAGACTGAGCTGAACGTGCTCTGCCGTCGCCATCACCGCCATGTCGCATCCTCTCTCTCTTTTTTTAACGTGACATCTGGATCTTTTCTTATTATTTAGACTTTAAGTTAATTTTACTGAAATAAAAAAGGTAGAATATTCAAATAAAACTCCTACGTCAGTATTGCAGTCTGTAAGAGTTGATTGTCAACGCGGCACGGAAATGTATTCCATGTCTCCATGTCTTTTGGTGGAGATGCTTGTCGGTTTTTCATTATTACGTTTTTATTTTCGTCTGAATTGTTTTCATAGTCTGAGTTCAGATTGGCTTGTCTTGAGCGTAGCTTTACAGGCCGTGCGCTGTGTGTTGTGTTCGGTTGGCTGGCTTTATCGGGAAGCGTGTAGTTTGGAGCTGTAAATAGCACACATGCATGGAACATGGAGTGGGATGTGTCTTTTTTTTTTTGTTTGTTGAAAAATATTTATTCTTTACAGATATCCAAGATTGTGTTAAAACAATATAAGAAGAGGCCACGTGACACATTTGCCTCGTTTTTGTTTTTTTAAATGTTGCAGTCCCATATTAGAGGTGCGTAGTAACTGCAGGGTAACACTAGCCTTAATTACATGCAGATACACTATGGATGCAGAGAAGAGTTGGCTGAATCTCTCACAGAAATATCTGGGTCATATTTCATCCCAAAGGGAATGAATACATTTTTTTGAAAAAATATTTGCAAAGATATCATGAAGAAAATGAATTTTTGGAAGCCGTACAATTGTAATATTAAATTAAATTAATGGCAATCACATATTTTTTGTCACCGTAATGCAAAATGACAAGCAAATTGGTTCATTTAATAACAATAAATCTACTTTATTTTCTACATTCATTTGTGCATTTTTGTTATTAATATTGCATTACATTTTTTTATTGTTATAAAATTATTATTATAAATATTGCATCTAACATCATTATAATATATCATAATTTATTAATCAATAATTATTAATTATACTGTATAAATAATTTAATAATAGTTCATTATCATATTATGTATTATATACTGTAAAATAATCAATAATTGCATATATTAATATTATGTATATAATTATTAATTATAATAATCAATAATATTATATTTATAACTATATATATATATATATATATATATATAAAAAAAAAAAAAATATATATATATATATATATATATATATAAATGCTTATAAATGTAATACATTTTATTTATAATATTTTTAATATAATAATTAATATGAATTATATAATTCATTAAAATATGTATATATATTTTTTTGAATAATCAATATAATTATTATTTATTATTTTAATCAGTTGTTTATTACATTATGTAATAATTAATACATACCAATAAATAAATAACAAATATTACATTTGTATATATTTACTTATTTTATTATTATTAATTATTGAATAAAAATATACATTATAATACTATGTATGATATATGCAATTATTGATCATTATATTACTATATAATGTATATAATAATTATTGATTATAATAATTATATTATATTTGTATGTAATATATAATAACAGATGTATAATATAATAATAATAATAATAATATATAATTACATACAAATGTGATAAATATTATTGATTAGTAAATTATTCGAATAATAAAATATATTAATTGTTAATTTAAAATAATATACATTTATATATTTGTATTGTATTTTGTAATATAATTAATATAATTATTAATTAATTTAATCAGTAATATTTATTACATTTGCATGTTATTATATATTATTATTATTATTTTATACCACATATTATTTATTACATACAAATGTGATAAATATTATTGATTATTATAAAAATTTGTAATTATATTTGTTATTATTGCTAATTTGCTATTATTTTTAATATAATAACTAATATAATAATAATAATTATTATTATTATTATTATTATTATTATTATTATTATTATTATAAAATAAAAAGTAAAAAAATACATACAAAAAATTTCTTATAAGTTTTTGTGGTGAAATATGACCCTTAAATATTCATCAACGTTTACATGAGATTCAGCAAATGGCTCTCATCTACACATGCAGTTCTGAAAGTGAACAAGTTTTGCTTTTGAGCTACGATCAACAGGAGCACGCACTCATACCTTTTTCTTCTTTATTTTATGATGAACCATCTCGTCTTAGTTGATGTTTGCGTTGATGCATTGTGTATCTCTTTAAAACAGCTGTTATATCAAACACACTACCAGATGTTCCATGAGAGCAAACTTTGAGTGACATTCACTCACTAACAACTAAAGTCTCAAATGCTTTTACCTGTTCATTTTTATTATTTTTTTGAAAACGTATGCACCTTTTATAGCGTGAGAAGGCAGATGGTATATCGAAAGCACTGTTCTAATGCCAAGTGGTTACGAGACTTATTGGTACTGACCATCGAGCGGATAAAACCCAAACCTTGCATGGTCAAGTCTGGCTGTTATGAACACACATTGGCCTTTTCTGTTTAACTAAAAGGGCAAATATGAGCGCTGTGTTTACACTAATATCAGAAATGGCGGGAGTTGTTCAGTTCAGTGTGTGAGCAAATGTGACACCCGTTGTTTTATTTTAATATTATTATCTTTTTTTTCCGTGAACACTTACTCGCAGATCACTTTTATTACTTTCTTTACATCATTTCTTCACCCAGTTTGAATGCATGGTCGTCATTCTCAAACACGTTTGCATATGTTCTCGGTTTGTATGGTAGTTTACAGCAGCTTCTACTAACTCTGTCACATTTTATGGCCTCCATGATCGGCGTCTGGAGCTTGTGCTCATGTTTTATTGATCCCTCGATGGATAAATGGAGAAAAAAGAAAAAAAAAACTTGAGGAACAGAAAATGTTGCCTGTGCTGACAGATGAGATTTCTTCACCAAAGCGTGAATATATGAATAAAAAATGAACAGTCTCTGATTTAGAGAAATGTTCGTATACGGTGGCTTTCCTGTGTTATAACCATTCTTATAAAAAATGTCCTATTTAAATAAATCTCATTCAAAAGTATGAGAGTGAAATCCTTTTTGTTGGTGTTTTACTTTTGTCTTTGACATTTTCAAGCATTCTGTCTGTGTCTATATCGGTGTGTCTGTTTGTCTGTGTAGCTACCTACCTACCTGAAAAAAGTCATGTCGTCCACCTCAGTTGTAAGAGCAACAAATAATAACTTGACTTTTAATTGATCATGTGGAAAAGTGGCAGAAGGTTGATGAATCATCTGTTGACCTGCATCCCAATCATCACAAATACTGCAGAAGACCTACTGGAACCCGCATGAACCCAAGCTTCTCACAGAAATCAGTCAAGTTTGGTGAAGGAAAAATCATGGTTTGGGGTTACATTCAGCATGGGGTTGTGTGAGAGATCTGCAGAGTGGATGGCGAAATCGGTAACCTGAGGTATCAACACATTTGTGCTGCCCATTACATTACAACCCACAGGAGAGGGCAAATTCTTCAGCAGGATAGCGCTCCTTCTCATACTTCAGCCTCCACATCAAAGTTCCTGAAAGGAAAGAAGGTCAAAGTGCTCCAGGATTGGCCAGCCCAGTCACCAGAAATGAACATTATTGAGTATGTCTGGGGTAAGATGGAGGAGGAGGCATTGAAGATGAATCCAAAGAATCTTGATGAGCTCTGGGAGTCCTGCAAGAGCCCTTTCTTTGCCATTCCTGATGACTTTATTAATCAGTGATTTGAGTCATTACAGAGATGTATGGATACAGTCCTCCAAGCTCATGATGGAGTCAGACACAATATGAACTCTTTTTCCGCTGCAGCATGACTTTATATTCTATTCTTTATTTCTGTTCAGTGACAAAACTTTTGTCTAAGCAAAGTCAGACCTTACTGTCCTGATTGAATAATTTAAAGTCAAGATCATATTTTATTTTGGTGAAATTAGCGTAATCTAGAGGTATTTGCCTTTAATAAAAGCCACTTCTGATGCCAAATGATCAACTAGAAGTCCAGTTATTATGTGTTTTTCCTTAAACTTGCATAGGCAACAAACACTATATATATATATATATATATATATATATATATATATATATATATATATATATATATATATATATATATGCTTATTAGGACATGTCACATGAATATGAACGAGCTTTTATAAGTGCATATGACAGCTTTTGTAATTCTCTCAGTTATGTCATTTTTAATTAAAGGATGACAACTTGACATTATTAAGACAACATAACTTGTCATAAATCTGTCATAAACATGATTGTCATAAGGCAATTATAACAATAGTTTTATAACTTTTATAACAGTGTCATTCATATTTTTTTTTACCTCAACAAGGTACAAATTAAGTTTGTCATTAAAATGTATTTAAAATTGATGATGCTGTTATAAAATAAGTCGACAGTGTATTGACACTTTTACTGATTATCAAGGCCTCATGACAGTCATATTTATGACAGGTTCATGACAAAAGGCAAGTTATGATGTATTTGTTTATATCAAGTTTGCATCTTTACATTTTAAATGACATAACTGAGCAAATTACTAATGACTTTAGTCATAAGCATGTCATATGATTATAAAGGTGTTATGAAAAGGTGTCATCAAAAGTGTTCCCATTCTTTTACATATTTTGTCTATACCCAGTATATTATGCATAAATACACACATCCTTGTGTGGAAATGTTTATTTCTATATCTTCTGTAGAACGCAAAACAAGATATTCTGAAAAATGTTGAAAATAGCAGCCATTGACATCTATAGAACAAAAATACCAGAGAAGTCAATGTCTGTTTTTTCTCCAGCATCTTCTTTTGTGTTTAGTAGAAATAAACAAGTAGAGGATGAGTAATTAATAGCAGTTTCCATTTTATGGTGAACTGCCTCTAAAACTATTTTGAAGGCAAAAAGAGGAACTAGCACCTAATGAAGATGCCAGTGTGAGTGTATTTTCAATGAAACATTGATTGTAATGACCAATAGGGGGCGCAGTGTGCTTCAAAACTGGAGACCGAAAAAATAAAGGAGGGTCTGTCTGTCACAGCGGATGGGTGCGGCTTCACATCACTGCACATTATTTTCACATGATCACGCTTCTATATGTTTCCACAAAAGTTTAATGT